ACCAAAAGGCATCCCTCACCTTACAAGATTTAGCGTAAACCGCTACGTTGTGAGCTACTGAGTTTTCTAGTTTACTAATCCAGCAAAGATTAAAACTTTGGGTGCTTGACTTTAGGGTGTCTCAAACCTAAAACCGTGGGAGAAAATGTTTCTAGGGTTTAGGAAGTAGATATTTCTAATCTTCTCGCGCTTTGAAAATACGAAAACACATATTCAACATTAAAAATTCGCGTTTCACAAACGCTAAAGTAATTAATTAATTTTTAAAAATATTTTTCCGGAAAAACAATGAAGGAAAAAAATGGAATAAATTGAGACAAAATATTAGCGTTTTGAAAACACAAATACATAATTTCGCGTTTTCAAAACGCATAAAAACATAAACACCATTAAAAATTTCGTGTTTTAGATATGCTAAATTTGTTGATTAATTTTTTAATATATTGATCCGGGAAAAAAGAAAAGAAAAATAAATGACATAATTGACAAAAAAAAAAATCAATCTTCGCATTTCGAAAACGCTTAAACAACATTCGCATTTTGCAAACACTTAAATATGAATTCATGGATTCTCGGCGAGTGTTTTGGGGTGGATTAATTGGGCTTTTGGGGGTTGGTTTTGGAGGGGTTGGGTTCCGGGGTGGGCTTTGGGTTCTGGGTTACGGGATGGGTAAAGATTTCGGGTTTTGGAATGGGTGGGGTTTACGGGGGTTGGGTTTCGGGTTTTGGGTTTAGGAGTGAGTTGGGTTCAGGGGGGTTGGGTTTTGTGATTATTACAAACTAGACACCCTAATATTTATAAAATGACACCCTTTTACTTTTTTTCTTCTTTGAACCACGTATGATTGGAATTTTTTTCAATTACACCTTTAATAATAAATTTTTTATTTCAATTTTAACCCAAATAGTATGGTATTTTACACAATTTTGAATTTGTACTCTCTCGGTTCCAAAATGACGTTTCACTTTAGTGTCAATAACATTAAATAAAAATCATTTCAAAATAATAATGTGATTAGTGAACACTGATAACAATAATTAATATTGTACTACTTAGTTTGACATGAACGACATCATTTATGGACCAAATTTGTTCTTTTTACATATATACTAGTTAGTTTTACTTAATTATAATCTGTTATTGGTCAAACTTTTTGTTTTTCTATCAAAATTTGTACTTTTTACATATGTACTACTAATTTTACTCTAATCAAATCTATTATTGATCAAATTTGTTGTGTCTACCTATGAGATACTAAGTTTGAGTTAAACAGAACATGTTATTGATCAAATTTGTTCTTTTTACAAACGTACTACCTAGTATTACTTAAATTCAATTTATTTTATTAAGCATCATAATTTTTGGGGAAGGTATATTATAAAGATGTAAATCAGAATAATCAACAAATCCGATCCCCCGCTTCACAAAAAAAAAATCATGTTACAAATCAGATCCAATCGACAAAAATGACCAAATTACCCCTAATAGGCAGAAGTCCAGGACTTGGACTCCAGTATAATGGACTGGATATTTATGTCTTTTTGGTCGTTCGACTGTTTTTTGTGAAGTTATTTAACCCACAAATTATACGCGTTTCAGAAATCCAGAATTCTGATGATTCTATGGATTTAACCAACAAATTATTCTTGATGGAAAAAAAAAAATATCAAGGAACAAATCCTTAAACCCCTCGACAAAATTACCAAATTACCTCTAATAGGCAAGAGTCCAGGACTTGGATGGACTCGAGTATGATGGACTAGATATTTTTTGTCTTTTCGGTCGTTCGACCGATTTTTGTGAAGTTAATTAAATAAAATATTCTTTTTTATTTTTTTCGTGCTTTGGAAACGCGAATATTTATTTAATTAGTTTTTTTACCATTAATTAGTTATGATTAAGTTAAATTAATTACGATATTTTACTTTTAGCGTTTCCGAAACGCGATAATGGTTTTTTAGCGTTTTCAAAACGCGAAATTTTTGAGGGAAGGTATATTATAAAGATGTAAATCGGAATATTCAACAAATCCGATCCCCCGCTTCACAAAAAAAAAATTATGTTACAAATCAGATCCCGTCAACAAAAATGACCAAATTACCCCTAATAGGCAGGAGTCCAGGACTTGGACTCCAGAATAATGGACTGGATATTTATGTCTTTTCGGTCGTTCGACCGATTTTTGTGAAGTCATTTAAATAAAATATTCTTTTTTATTTTTTTCGCGCTTTAAAAATGCGAATATTGATTTAATTAATTTTTTTACGATTAATTAGTTACGATTAAGTTAAATTAATTACGATATCTTACTTTTAGCGTTTCCGAAACGCGATAATAGTTTTTTACCGTTTTCAAAACGCGAAATTTTTTAGGGAAGGTATATTATAAAGATGTAAATCGGAATAATCAACAAATCCGTTCCCCCGCTTCACAAAAAAAAAAAAAATTATGCTACAAATCAGATCTCATCGAAAGAAATGACCAAATTATCCCTAATAGGCAGGAGTCCAGGACTTGGACTCCAGTATAATGGACTGGATATTTATGTTTTTTTGGTTGTTCGACTGATTTTTGTGAAGTTATTTAACCCACAAATTATACGCGTTTCAGAAGTCTAGAATTCTGATGACTCTGTGGATTTAACCAACAAATTATTCTTAGTGGACAAAAAAAAAATCAAGGAATGAATTCCTAAAGCCCTCGACAAAACTACCAAATTACCCCTAATTGGCAAGACTGCAGGACTTGGACTCTAGTATAATGGACTGGATATTTATGTCTTTTCGGTCGTTCGACCAATTTTTGTGAAGTTATTTAAATTAAATATTCTTTTTTATTTTTTCGCGCTTTAAAAACGTGAATATTTATTTAATTAATTTTTTTACCATTAATTAGTTACGATTAAGTTAAATTAATTACGATATCTTACTTTTAGCGTTTCTGAAACGTGATAATGGTTTTTTAGCGTTTTTAAAACGCGTTTTTGCTTATTTTCGCGTGTTTGAAGCGCGAAAGAATCAGTTTTGGCTACAATTTAAAACCTAGATTTATTTTGTTCTTCAAAATTTTTTTAGGATATATATAAGTAAATTTTCCCCAGGAAAACCCTGAATGAGACGATGTATATCTTGCACGATTGGAAAATCTGAGATTGAACTATCCAGATCACGACGGGCTATCAAGATCGCATTTACAGAATCCCCGACGATTTGAAAGCCTGTAATCCCTAGATTGTGTTCAAGTTTCAACGCCTCGCACAATGCCAGGAGTTCAGCCGTTTCCGAATCTGTGATATTATTCACATGGGAGCTGAAAGCATGAAGGAAGGAACCGTCTGGGGAAGCAATATAAACGCCAAGCCCCGCAACTTTATCCCAATGGGAAATGCCTGCATCAAAGAAAATTGTCGTACAGTTTGGTGCTGGATGGAAAACGTGATGTAAGCCAGAAGAAGCCACACCGGCAGCTGCTTGGGTTGAAGACTTCCAGGATTTTAGAATAGTCGCAGTCCGAAGAAGAACACCCCAAACTGTGAAAGCGAGGAATTGTAGAAAGCTTTAGGACAACTGGACAGATTTATCCTCCCATCCAGAGTGAAAATCATAGCTGGCAGCCTTTCGAAATACACCTAAATTGGTCAAAGAGAAAAAGCAAGAAAATCATCCAGGGTCCGTGAGTTTAGTGTACCCAAAATTTAGTTGGTAGAAAAAAGTGTTCTTAGGGTTGGAGGGGTAGAAATTTATGAGTTTCTCGCATTTGTGATATGCGAACAAACTGATATTCACATTTACCATATGCGAACAACCTTACGTAATTAATTAGTTAAACTTAAACAAATAATATCAACAAATGAGATAATTCAAAGTGGGCCATCACCCAAATTTCGCATATGCCAAATGCGAAGATAATAATCTGAATAAATTAAAGCGGACAGAGGAAGGAAAGAGGAAAGTGTGGGGCATCATAAGACTTTCGCATTCAACGAATGCGAACAGAAAAATATAGGTAAAAAAAAACGAAATTATCTTTTTATCCTATTAAAATCTGACTGGTCAATAGCTTATCGACACGTGGCAATTGCTGACAATTTGGATAAATATTCGCATTTGGCGAATGCGAATGTGATGGCTAGACTCATAATTTAAAACTCATCACCCCCAATTCGGCAGAACTAAAAACCATCAATTCTTCTTGCATTCAGTTAAAATTTTCATTCCGGTGGAAGAGGCGGAGCAGGAAAGAGCCATTTTTCATATTAAAGGTTGGATGGTTGGACTGAACGGGAGCAAGACAGAGGCAACCCATTTAGGTAAGTTTTTTTTCTCTATGAAATTTGTAAAATTTATACATTCTATTGTCATTTGGGGCTATTAATCTTGTTGTAGTGTACGAAATTACTAAATTTAATAATTTCAGTAGTTATTGAGAATTGGTTTTAGAAAATTTGCTTCAATAAATATATATTTGATATAGAATGAAGAATTAAAATTATTTTTATAATGTGAATTGTTGAATTTTGTTGAATATTATGAGTTATTTTATTAATTTAGAGAATAACCCGGTTGATCTCGAATTTTGGTCTTTATACCTCAATTTTGTGAATTTTATATTCTGACCCAATTATTTGTAATGTTATTGATTTGACCCTGTTTTATTTATTTTTATTCTTTTAATTTTATATTTTATCACTAGCGTTGAGTGCTAAATTCATGTATTGTTGAATAAATTTAGTTTTAATATATCAAATACATTGTGTAAATCTAAATTTATTAGTTTGATCAAAAATTGTTATTCTTTTAATTGAAAACCTTGTTATATAGATGTCGAATTATATTTTTTGAATTATTAAATTATGTTAGAGATTTTTCACTAAAGATAGGACTTATTGTTAGTTTTTGGAGTAAATTACTGCTAGTGAGGTAGAATATTGTTATAACAAGCATGAATTGATGTATTTGTATGTTTAATTGAATAAAAATTAAATGTGCAGGCCCTTAATATGTCTTTTCCGGGTCCCTTCGATCTGAATATATTCTGGTCTAGTGATCGATCATGTTGGGGATATGGGGAGAAGTTATTTACGCCCGAAGCAACAGTTCGTATCGATCGAGTGTGGAGTTTCTCTGAACTTGATAATTATGTGCACAGGCTGTTAGAATCTGAGAACCAACAAATACTTCCTCTGCAATATGTTTTAGTCTGCACAGATGAGTACGGCAGAAGGGGGCAAGCGCCCATAAGAGACGACGAGTCAATGTCATGGATTTACCGAGGTGCCCATTTGCGTCCAGCATTGTACGTAGAGGTTGCAGATGAACCTGTTCAAGATGTTGGGGAAGGAACTACTGGTGGTCAGTATGATGGTGCAGGGAGTAGTGGTGTTGGTGGTACCAATGAAGATGACGTACATGGGAACAGTGACGAGGAGTATGTGCCGTCCGATGAGTCTGATGATGATTACAGTGACCATGACGCATCTTCAGTAGTAATTTCTATTTTTGACGACATCAGTGACATGGACAAGTCTGAACTGGATGAGGATTCTGATGGGATCACAATGTGGGACGGTAATTGGCAGACGGTTAGACATGGTGTACATTTTGCTAACAACAAAGAGGTACAAACAGCTGTGGGGGAATGGACATTGCGACAGGGTCGGGCATGTCGGGTAAAATATAGCCGTCCCTATACGTGGGCCGCTGAATGCAAGACGAAAGGGCCGAAGTACCCAGAAGAACTTCTCCACGGCACTACTTGCTTGTGGAAATGTCGAGCTACCCTGCAAAAAGACACAAATACTTGGAAAATGGTGGTATGGGTCGAGAGCCACAACTGTCTTGGTGCAACCACAAGAAACGAAGGTCGCAACTTGACGTCCACAATGATTGCTCGATTGATCACAGCCAATGTCCGAAAAGATCCAGGTTATTCAGTTGCGCAGATCCAAGTCGAAGTAAATAAGAGATACAGGGTCACCCCCAATTACAAAAAGGCATGGCATGGTCGAAGAAAAGCACTTGAGAGTCTGTATGGCACATGGGAAAACAACTTTCAACAACTGCCCAGTTTTCGGGAAGCATTGCTCAAAGCGAACCTAGATACCCGTATGCAGTTTAAGTTCACTAAAGATACCAAGAATCGGAAGAAGAAGGTGTGCAGGTACATTTTTTGGGCATTTGGGCCAGCTATACATTTATTTAGAGCTGCTTGGCCGGTCATAACCGTCGACGCCACCCACCTCCGAGGTTCATAGAAAGCAACATTGATCGTGGCATGTGTGAAGTGCTCGAATAACACAATTGTTCCCATCGCGTTTGCTCTCGTGGATAAAGAGACATTGCACAGCTGGAAATGGTTCCTTAAATACCTGAAAAAATTTGTTCTACTTGACAAGGAGACCTGCATTATCTCTGATCGCCATACAGGTATTCTTGCTGCTATGGATGTTATGCTTGATAAATTTCCAGGGATGGGAGTGCACCGTTATTGTCTGCAGCACATCAAAGCAAATTTAGCTGGCAATTTTCCTGGGCAGAAACTCAAAAGACCTTGTCAAAGGGCTTGTTCAATGTTGCAAAAAGGGAAGTTCGAAAAAGAATGGATGAATTTAGAAAGTAAAAATAGAGATGCACCCATATATTTTCAGCAAATCGGTCTTGAGAAGTGTACCCGTTATTGGGTCGGGGGATATCGTTGGGGAGAAATGACTTCAAACATATCCGAGAGTTTTAATAATGTCTTAAAAGGTTGCCGGATGCTCCCTATCACTACTTTGATTCTTGCCACATTGTATAAGACTAACAAGTTGTTTCAGGAAAACATAGATGAAATTGACAAATGCCATTCACCCCTCGCGACGAATCCCATGAAACAGTATGAGGATTACCGTATACATCAGATGGGTCACGAGGTTACCAGATTCAGCAAGAGGAATCAGAAGTACCAAGTGGTCACGTACTCACCACCTGATCGGCCATGGAAGGGTGGAAATATCCATGAGGTAAACTACGCCGCCAGGATGTGCACGTGTAACAAGTGGCAGACATACAGGTTTCCTTGCTCCCATGCGCTTGCTGTTGCCAGGTATCTACATCATGATCCATTACCGCTTTTTGATTCATTTTATAGTAGGGAACAATGGGCTATTCAGTTTTCTGGAGAATTCAACCCAGTCCTTCAACCATGGCCATAAGCGACGTGGCATCTGAGGCCTGATGATACGTTACTGGTACACCATGCTGGCCCAGGTCGGAAGCGTGTCAATCAAAAGAAAGGACTTATGGATTACTCTACAGGATGTCGAGGTCCTTCTGGGTCTGCGGGTTGATGGCCATGCAGTGGTTCAGAGGACAGTACCTCCGCAGGATGTGGAGTGGGCGATTATTTAGAGAGTCTGTTTGGATTCCGGAATAGCGTCCTAAGGCCACAAGGATAAGGTAGTAAACATCACAGATATAAAGAGACACATTATGACTAATCTGCTACCCGGAGATGCTACAGAGGATATGTACCTTCAGCGGGCACGTTGTTTTGTCGGATGGATTTTAGGAGGGTTATTGTTTCCTGATAGCAGCAGAAACAATTTTCCCCTGGGCCTGGTCGGGTATTTGGAGGACCCAAATACATTTCAGGAGTTTAGTTGGGGTAGTGCTACACTGGCGTGGTTGTACCGAAATCTATGCACTTCCTCAGTGATCACATTGTCTGGACAGGGTATTTGTGGCTGCTTACTACTCTTACAGGTAATTTCAAACCGCCCTTGTATTTGTATTTGATTGTTAGTTTTTTATTCATTTTATTTTAATTATTTTCGATTTATTTTTATTTTCTTTATTTGTAATTTTTTGTTAGAATCCTAATATTTATAATTGTATTTTATTTTTAGTTTTTTAATTATTGTATTTGTATTTTTAATTTCACGTATTATTTTATTGCAAAATAGTTATGGGCTTGGGAGCGGATATTGACTTTCCGTCCGGAGTTACGTGGGCCCGTACCAGATCTTCAGGGGTGTCCCTTGGGCATGAGGTAATTAATTTTCAACTATTCAATAATTATCTTAATTAGTTATATTTTTTAATATTTTTTTCCGTTTTTTCAATCAAAACTATATTTTTTTGTAGGTGGAACCGTCCTAGAAAAGTGGGAGACATCACACGATTTAATCTAACCGCCTATCGAGACCAGCTTGCGGTTTTGCAAGAACATAATGTAAGTATTTTTTATTTGAACCATCATAACGTATAAATCAATTTATTTTTTTCTTATATATTCACATAAATTTTTTGTATTATCTGTCCCTCTACATTTTGTTTGGATGCCGTATTCTCCTGCTATTCTTGCAGACATTGATCCATCTTGCTCTGCCGGCTCCGCCATATGGATGTCCTAGACTTGGCTGCTTTATTTTGGTATCTGAGAGCCACACATCCCAGGCAGGGTGTTGCGCCAGTTCGGCTTCTTGCAGCGGGTGCCTGACAACACTTTCATCATGGAGAAAAAAGAAATAGAAAAGTTGCATAAGGAGACGCGTGGTAAGAAATGTCGAGATGACGTTTTCTTACAGAGGTGGGAGAATCGACACAACACCCTTGCAGGTCTTCAGACGGATATGACTCTTGAACCCCAGGCAGCACTGGAATATCTAGTGTGGTATCAAAATCACACTGTCACTTTGGTCACCAATCCATCAGACTATCGTCAGCCCCAGGGTTTTCAGGGATCTGCTGAGTCACTACATATAATGGTAAGTTACAGTTCTACTATTTCTTTAATCACACCCATATTAATATGATTTTTATACATATAACTTTCTAAAATGTTATTTCCCATTTTTAATTTACCATATATATGTTCATTTATAAAATATATTTATTATATATTTTTAATTTACCATATATATTTATTTCCTTTTATAATTTTCAGGCCAATTTAGTGCAAAACATGCGGCATATTACTCTAGATGAGCTATAACGTAATCCAGCTGATTCTTGGAATCACAATGCCTTCCTACAGCTGCACGATTTGACACAGCAGGCAATGACTGTCAGCAAGACATCTGTTTGGGCTGATAGTGAGAACCCAAGCCAAGATTTTGTTCCAGCTGACCCAACCCAGGAGTATATCCCACCTAGGCCTCCCAGGACTGACCGAGGCGGCTTCCAGTTAGGGAGTGGGAGAATGAGAAAACCTGTGGCCACCCAGAATACCGGCGGGCAATCTTCTACCCCCCATGTGTCTCCTTACCGTCCAGCATCGCCACACCACCATCCCTCTCCTCCTTTTGAGCAAATGCATTTGGATTCAGATTTTATTAATCTAGATCCTAATGCTGGGGGTTTCTTTGAGACTAGTTACGAGGGTGGTCATCATAGTCAGCATCTAGGTGGTGACGATATCCATCATGATCAGGAAGATGATCAAGATCATGAGGATATTGGGGATCAGGAGCATGATGATGATGCTGATGATGCTGAGCATTCCTCTCATGATCAATATGAGGGCGCTGATCAGGGACAGGGCCCCAGTGATGGTACCATGCCTTTTACACCTATTCCTTTGGGTAAGGGATAGCGGAACATAAAAAAGAAGAAAAAGTGCTGCATGACAGATTCTCAGGAGAAAAAGCGCAAGATGTAGAACTATTAGATTGAATTGTACTTTTAGTTTATGCTATTTTATGACTTTTGTTATTAGTTTTAAGCAATACCTTTCATTTATTTTCATTAACAATTTATTTCGGTTTAATTTAATCTTTAAGATAAAAAAAAAATTTAAAAGGCAAACATTAAAGAAGAAAATTTCTCAAAAAGACAATATTATGTACAATTTGTTTAACTCTTACTTTTATACAATACTATCTTTTTCGTCGTGCCAAATTCAAGTTTCCAGGTCGCTAAAAGATCATTGTTAGAAGGAAGTGTGGTTTTATCAAGTTTAGCAGGACTGATTATATCAGATTCTAAAAGTTTTAGTTTTTTTGTTTACTTTAAATGAATTGATTCTAAGTTTTATTATGTAAAAAATATTATTATCCTAAAATTAATAAACTTGATTTTTTGACATTATATTTTTAATGATGGTAAGTTTTTAAATTGAAATCAAATAAAAGTCAATTTTTTTAAAAGCAAACTTGGTTACAGAACGCAAGATTATATTCTAATTTTTCATCGAAATTTTAATTTACTTCTTATTCAAATTTTATTATAAATGCATTATACGATTTCTGTTCACCAAATATAATTTTTAGGATTGCAATTCTATTTAGAACTAACATAAATTTACTTAAATCAAATGAATACTTTAAATTTAGAAAATTTAATTTTCAATTAAAATAGTATTTTTTTGTTGAAATATTACAACATTTTATCAACCAAAATATTTAATTTACAACATTTCATTTTATACCAATTTAAAGTTAGGAAACAATTTTTAAATACAGATTTAATACATTCGCATATGCCATATGCGAAAAGTTGATTTTCGCATACCCCAAATGCGAAGGATTAAATTAATTATAATTATCCAATTTTAATCCAACGTCTTTAATACATTGTAATTAATCCACTACATGTTCGCATTTGCTGAACGCGGAAGTTGGTTTTTTCGCATTTGCCAAATGCGAGAAACATATTTCTTTCTACCTCCGAAAACCCAGCCATAGTCCTGCTTACACTACCAATTTGGGAGCATATTTGTGTCATTTTTCGAAATCATCCATTAGGATCATTACAATTACTGGGGCAATGAATCAACTGTAACAAAACTACTACTACTACTAATTTATTGTTCATATTTGAAAATTAAACAATATAATTCGAAATAATAAACGTTTTTCGGGAAAATAATAATAATAATAATAATAATAATAATAATAATAATAAAACACGCACACACGCAGTGATGATAGATATGATGTCTAATTTTTTGGAGTAAAAAAGAATACAGTTGCGCTAGATGATACGGACCTGACAGCGGATTGTTTTAAGATTAGCCTTACTTACGTTGCCGGAGCCACGGTCCTGTTGTAAGCGTCGGTCGCGGCAATGATGGGCGAAATAGAAGCAAGGAGCTAGTGGAGCAATGGATGTTTACGGCGGAGTTAGTGGCGGTGCTAACGGTGGTGGTGGAGCTAAGGCCGTCATGAGCTAACTCGTGAAAGCCAAAACTTAGAAGGTGATGTTGAGAAGGTTAAGCGCAGTGTCTGGTTTAATATAAAATGGAAGAAACTGTTGGGTTTTGTTGGTTGGCAAGCAGCAATCTTAATTAAGCAAATTTTACCTATGGTTTAATTAGAACGCCTTAATATTGCCAATGTTAGAAGCACCAGTGGATTATCTTATTTACTTATTTATGTTTTGGACTAACCCATTCATGTGGGTTGTGGAGGTGACAAGCGGAGATGCTACTTCAAGACACAAGAAAGTGGAAACTTCCTGTTGTTAAATCAATTATGACAAAGTGCAAATTGATCAAACATCTTGAGACTTGAGAAGGTGAAGAAGACTATGTCCTCTTTAATAAATTAAATTGGTTGATGATCTTATAGTTGATCGTTTGGGGAAGGAGGAAATATCTATTGACATGAATAAACTAAAAGTTCATTCTGAATTCCAGAATCCTTTACTACGATGTCAGGTAACACATGAGTAAAGTTTAATGTAGTTTTTGTCATTTTGTTTTTTGAATTTGGTTAGGGGTTAGGGCTTAGACGCGTATTTATAAACTAATTTTTTACCTTTGACGTGTAACCGTTTCGGGAAAAAAGCACTTATTTGACGGTTTAATGTACAAGAAAATGAGTTGACTTCGAAAACGCTTTATTGTGACTCTTAGGTGATCATCAAACCACCAAAGAAAAGAAACTACATAATTATGATAAAAATCCATTGTAAGAAAATAATATTACAAAAAAAGGTCTTTCGTCATGAACAGTGTTTAACTAGCTATATTAAATATTATTATTATGTGTTCCTTAATTATTATCAAGATTATTCAAACTGATAGAAAATTATAATTATCATCTTTTAATTTTCACTTTTAGAACTATCATTTTGGGACCATTATTCTGGACGGGATCAGCATATGGATTGCCCAATTTTCTGATGTATATTTTCTAAGAATAATCTAATCATCCCTATCCATCAGTTATATATATGCTGTGCTTCATTTCAAATTATCCATCGCATAAGAGCAAATGCCGACTTCGCAAATTTGTAAGTTCGCTGAATTTTGAGTTTCCTAAAATATACTGCTTCAAAGCAATTTACCAGTCACATAAGATTAAATCCATTCGGATAATTGACCTGGCTGTGGTTTTTGGACTGGACCCTTCAACACCATAGGCAAAATGGCTGAATGTTGGATGGAGCCGCCATGGCACATTGAAACAGATCAAGACAACCACCTTAAAGACCTGATCTTCATCTCCAGCACGACAACCAACATAACCACCTTAAGCGCCATCGAAATTCACCACCGTTTCGGTATGGAAAAAATTGCATTTATACCCAAAGGTTTGCCCTCATCTTCAATCCTACCCTTAAGGTGGTTGTGTTGGTTGTGGTGCTGGAGATGAAGTTCAGGTTTTTAAGTCAATTGTCTTCAGCTGTTTTAGTGTGCCATGGCGTCTTCATGACATTAAAAACTTTCTTTGAACAATGCTACGTGCGTACAGCGAAAGGAAAGACAAGATACTAATTAATCAGTTATCATGAGTGATGAAGAATGGATTAAGTACTTGGAATCGTTCCTCCGTAATATATATAGTTGAACGATCAGTGTTTCTAGTTGGGATGAAGCAAAAATTTATTAATCTTAGTTAGCAACTTTCACCCAATATTGTCTTATGAATTTCAGATTCATTTACCATTATGTCAGAAAACACGGGTTCAAAAAAAAAAAAAATTTAAAACCAAATCTCTTGTATAACATTATTGAATTATAATTTTATGTGGTATTTGTCATTTTGTTCTTGAATTTGGTTAGACCTTACGCATATTTTTGAACCATTTTTTCCGATTCCCTGTGACGAGAAACTGTTTCAAAAAGTCATGATGAGAAATATAAAAAACTGATTTGACTCTGAATCTAAGAAAACAAAAGTTACTAACGAAAAAAAGCCCTCCCTCCTTATTTTCTTCAGCTGACCAAGCCACCAAAGGGAAAAAGGAATTGAAATAAATTCAGATTATGGGTACACTAACTTGTGTCTCTACTCCATTAGGGTACAGTCATAAGTACTACCAGGGCTTCTTCGACAAGCTGATAGCCAACTCCTACACCCGAATGCCTCCACGGCACTATAGATACAAGAGGTCCAAGTGAGTACATAACTTATGTTAACTAAACAATTGAAGTTTAGCTGGGATTAGAATTCACCCATACTCTAAAGCGTAATCAGTCACGGCATTTGCCCTCTCCAAATTCCAAACTACAGACCCGTAATTTAGTGATCAGTCCGGTGCTTATTATAAATTATTTTTAAAAAATTTCTTCTGGTATTATCTATAAACCATTTAATATGCTTAAGATTCCACTTATTTTGTTCCAAGTTTATCCATTCTTTAATTTTTTTTAAAATATCAATTCTAACAAATCTTTCAGTTTAGAAGATACATTTTATTTGTGACAACATAGATAATTTAGATTAGTTTTTGATGAAAATAATTATTTAATCAACTTTTAATTGAATGTTAAATGTATTTATGTCTAACAAAATAGGACCAGAGCCAGAGGGGATTAATTACTTCAAAACCATGGTTCTACCTAAGCCATTTACGATATTTTAATAACCTGTAATTTCGCCGTTGCCAAAATGGTAGCCGAAATTTAATTTGATCATTCAAATTGATTTCAGGTTTAAGAAAATTCACGGAAGATATATAATAGTTCTCGTGTCAAACGAGACATATTTGTTAAAACTAAAGATGCCTTGATGGGCAAATTGATTTGATTTTTCTTTGTTTTAAATCATTTGTATAGCTAATAAGCGGGATTTGTCCATAGAGTATTGTTCCTTTATTAGATTGTGATGTATGGAGGTTTTTTCTATAGTATTTACCGTGTCTTCCATATTATTGCTGCAAACGTTCGTAATTTTTTTTGTTGCTTTACACTGTGCAATCTAAGAAGATTCAGTCATCATAGGATTTTTACTAGAGAATTAAAAATGTATTTTTTGTTTTAATTTATAATGACTACAAACTTGATGGACTAATCTGAAAATTCTGAAAATCTAAACTGGCTGCTGCGATTTCTGAACAGGCAAAACGTGGGGATGCGCTAAATTTGCATATAAATAGTTTTTTTCTTCTTATTTGGTGGGAGTTAGATGGTAGGAGGCATAGGGAGGTTCTGAACTTGTGGTTTCAAGTTTTTCTCTTTGTTTTCTCTAGGACTAGCTCAGTAAGATTAAATTATGTACTCTTTTGTTATTTATCTTAGTAAGATTAGTAGCTAAATATCTTTTCTCATTGAAGGATTTTATTAAAACCTTGATGTTATTCAATTATGAGATCTAATTGTGTCGCCAACATGTTTTGAGTATTTATTTATTCTCTTTGTTGTGCATTGATGATTATTTGACATGATTTGAATAGCAGGTAGCATTCAATTTTCCTAGATAATCTAATTTATGAAACAACAAGGTTTGTTTCTTACTTAGAAGAGACAACACAAGTGATTGCTTGGTAAGTAGTTATTTTGTGTTGCGAGAATAAATAGGCAATCTTTAATGAAGCAATGTTTGTTTCTTAGAAATTAAATTGGATATTTGCTTGTCAAAAACTAAATCCTAGGAGGTTTCAGGTAGTGCTTTTGGCTATTTAGTAGTTAATGAAGGTTTTTTAATCGTTAGTTATTAATTAAAAAGAATGAGTTTTGAGGAGGTTCCAACAACGATAACCAATATATTCATAATTTGTTGAGTTAATCTTTGCATCAATGATCAGTTGGAGACATCAAGGTGGAAATTATTCCTTTGACTAGAGTTTCTCTTATTATAAATTTTTGAAAAGTATCTTTTACTGTTTGTAAGTTTTATTTTTGTTAATCACAAATCCAAAATCTCTTCCATTTGATTATTTTTCTTTTGATTAGAAATATTTTCATTTCCTTGCTCCTGAAGAGACAACCTTACTCATTGCTATACTACCAAATTTCTTAGAGTAGGTTCTTTTATTTTTGTTCGTTTGACAGCCACCAGATAATAAATTGGATAGCCGTTGGTGGAAACTAAATAGGACAAAGCTAATTGTTGGTCATGATATTCTTGTATGTTCAAGATTGATTGAACAAAAATACAATCAGATTTCAAGATTTGAGCAAAGGGAGTGATTCCTAGTTTTGCTTTTGAATATACCGAATTCATGACTGGATTGGTAGAAACGTAAGAAGGGATATTCTGGTCTTTTGGTAAGTGAAAAATAATTAATAACATTTAGTCATGAATAAATCGCATCCATGCCCCTTGTAATAATTACCATCTTTCGAATTCCATTATTACCAATTCACCCGATTCTAATCTTGCTAACATATATAATTTAGTCTACTTTTGAAACAAACAATTATTGAATTAAATTTTGGTCAGTTAGACAATATATTTATTTTTTCTTTAATAATAAAAAATAGGACGGCGTGTCGACATTCTACTTTAATCATTTTTGTTACATTGCCATTCAGTAATTTCCTTATATGTAGCCAAAATAGTAGCCAAAATTTAATTATTCTAGTTGTTCTGATGTTTTACTACGTTAACGGAAGATACATAACAGTTCTTCGTTCAAACGAGGGACATCTTTGTTAAACAAAAAATAAAAACTTAAAACGAAGCAGATCATACAAAATATTTTCTCTCTCCAAATTATTGTCCACTTTGAATTATTATTTTATTCAAATTACACTTAAATTCAAATTATAAATTGGAGAATAATTTTAGAACATAGGGAATATTATGTTGCAGAAGAAGATGTAAAAATAAATTATTATAAAAAAATGCGTAATGGCCATGTAGAGAGCAAAGTACTAATTTATCGATCAATTGGCTACGTGCCATTTGGGATCCTTTTAAAACCTTTTGTTTTAGAAAAAAATAAAATAAAATAAAATGTGAAGGTGGTTCGTTTTTTTCTCTACTGCAATGTAATGACATGGCTACATTATTGGTGTACTGCATATGCATCAAAGAATGCTTTTGGTGAAGATGATTTTGACGCTTTAATTACTTTTGTTACGAAGGATTAAACACGTCTGTAATTTTGACACTCTCCATCGCATATAAACACAGAGTGATCAATTAATTTAGTTGAACCGATCGGTGACTTGGGCTAATCATTCAGTTTTTTCAAAAAATCTGGATTGCTCGAAATATCAATCTTTGACATTCTATATTCCTTTATTTTTTGAAAAAAAGTACAAATTGAATCATATAATTGTCCCTGTCCCAAAGAGTGTGGAGATCTGCACTGTCAACACTCAATATAAATTTTTTTTGTCTCACACATACGGAGTAGTAAACAATGTGATTTGTTCAGTTTTTAAATAAAGTATTAAGTGGTCATACATATTTATACATTAATATGTTTTTCAATGTGCTAATTGACTACTCAACGTACGTAGTTTTCTAAATTTCACATCGATATGATCTAAGCTAAACGTCAAAACTTGTTTACCTTTCTTTTCTTCTTTGACCCCAAAACTTAACAATTTTGAAATATACTAAGTGCAAGAAAACATGTACACAAACCAACAAATTTATGTTCTAACAGAACATAATGTAGTTCGTTCCATATTCTTCATATGTTACACCTATAAATTCTCCCAATTAAAGCCTTGAATCAACCATTCAACTGATCATATATAAGATTGATTTCTTCATATTATTCATCACTTCCATAAAGCGAAAAAGAAAGACAAGAAAAAATTCAGAGAAAACAATGGCGAGTCAAAAGATAGCAACCCTAGTGTTGGTTTTGGGCTTGTTGATCATGCCTTTTTCCATTGCCAGCTATGCACAAATCCCTTGTAACACAGTGTATAATGATCTGTATCCATGTCTAGGTTTTGTGATGGGTGGTGGAAAGGTTGACCCGGCTTGTTGCAGCGGGTTCAAGACGGTTCTCGGGTTGGCTAAGACCAAAACCGACCGTCAAGGCGTTTGTTCTTGCCTGAAATCCTTGGTCTCGGATGCAACCGATGGCGAGATCAAGAATGCTGCTCAAATCCCTAAGCTCTGCGGACTTAATATTCCATACGTCATTTCCCGCAATATTGACTGCTCCAAGTAATGTTTCTCTTTCGTTATCTTTGTCCCTCTCTAATCAATAATCGACGTTTTTTGTTTTTTATTATTTCAGCATTTAATTATCTTTTATTCGATAGAGGGTCCCTTTAACTGATTAAGCGTTCACTAAAAAAAAATCAAGTGGTTATTGTCGATGCTTTCATCTTATGGAAAAAGATATGAGAAAAATAATTGATGGTTATTTCACAATGAGCAAAATTGAAAATGAAATTTCCCATTTTTCCATATCTTTTAAGAATAACGAAGCGACTATTGTTCGAGAACCTGTAAGTATGAATGGGGATTTTCTTTGTATCAATTTTAAGAGGGTATTTAGAGGAAAAGAAAAACAATTGACTTCATAATAATAAATCCCTTACCAGATCAATTTGAATCATATACACATATCAGTTACCGACAGGTACTATATATTATTCGAAGATTAACTTTTATATTTCAGATTTTTTTGAGGATTCAGTTGGCTATATTCTCTTGCAGGGTGAAGTACTAAAACTCAAACGTGCGTTCGATAATCCTGTGTGAAGAAAATATTGTTCCTTTCGATGTACAATGAAGCTTATTAGTCAATTTGATTACTTTCTTTTAAGGATGTGTTTTTAAATACTACTACTGTCTTATATACTATGGAATTATGATAGATAATCTCTGTCTCAAAAGAATAATTCCCGTTAAATTTGTAATTTTAACTAAATTTAATACAAATTTCAAAATACAACATGAACAATAGTTTTGAACATAGCGAGTGCTTCTAAAACATTAATCTAAGTGTACCAATTTTAGACGATCTCTGTCATTTTGCCATTTACGACATTCAACTTGAAGTTTAGAACACATTTTGAATCAATCTTGGTGGTCTCTTTCATGTAATCGAAATCAATCTTTGGAATGAGGCGCTGCAACTGAAGTCTAAATATGTGTTTCGATCTACTTCCTAGGCCCTAAAATTTTTAAAATCTCATACCTAGTTTCTTCATCCACTTAAACTAGCAATGAGTAAATAGACCCCCACCAAGCCAATTCATGTTCGTAGAGCACGTTCACGGCTGTCTTTCTAACATATACCAGGATGGACATCAAAGGGAATTTCTTTCATTTTTAACATCATCGCAACGATATTTGCCGTATTCTTATGATCTATTTGTGATTTAGCAAATATAGATCTCAGATGCGGCCATATTAGAATCGACAGATTGAATGAGGTGGGAAATCGGGGGGAAGAATTCAATTGAGTGGTATGAAAGCACTAATATTGTATGTTTGTGAGGCCAAAGGGAAGACAAATTAGCAAACAAAAGAGACAGTGCCTCATTTTTACGAGCTAATAATCTCTTCGTTCCGAATACTATACTAGTAGTGGTAGTAGACAAGATAGTCAAACAAATGTAAGAAACTTTTTAACTTACAAAAGGAAAGAAAAATAAGAATAAAAGTAAGATATTTAGATGTAAGCCTAAATTATGTACAGGCTACCTTGTGTATAGGCTACCTTTACTGATCCCTAAATGGAAGCTTGATAAACCATTATTGGAATTAATGCATATAGAAAGCTGAAGGATATATATTTTTAGTGGTCTCTATGGCTTCACTCTTTTCTTAAATTTCATAATACTGGTGGATTTGTAAGAATCTTTAAGTCGGTGCTTATAAATCAATATATGAACGCTGAAGAATCTGTTAAGTTCATCATTATCTTCTTGATTTCTATATTTATTTGTGACCAAAAAAAAAAAATCTATGAACCGGTTAATTAATCAACCCAACATTTGTGGATATACGTAGTGAGATTGGTTGATGAGAGGTTCAAGTGTTAAATATTCGATCAGCTAGGTGAGGTAGCCAACCATACAATTTTAATTACTGTGAAATGCTTCTAAAAAACAATAAAACCAAGAAAAAAAAAAGAAAGAAAGAAAGAAGCAAACAAATATTTTCCGTTTCAGCTGGCTGCTGTTCTCCTCGACATTAAAGTGATTACACAAATTAAGGTGGAATTCCATTCCTTCAAACTTATAGATTGTTGTTGTGGCTTTGTTATCTGGTTGTCTCATGGATCATAGGTGGAATTGATCAACTACTGCCCTATAAGGCACTTTGCATGGATCATACTCGCGTAGGATTGCTGCCATTGCGGCCATTCTTACCTTCCACCCGGCTATAAATGCATTTGATTCTGCACCAGAGGGACGGCTGGAGCTTGAGTAAACCCAGCTATTGAAATAATTAGTAAGGAATTCCAGAGAGCTCGAAACATTGCGACGGGAAGAGTGGTGGCATTGGTGATGGTGGTGAACATGGAGCTCGTGTTTGGGAATTGGGCGTTCGATTAGATGGGGAAGCCATTAAAGTTTCATGACTAAAACGATTCTCGCTTTGAACAATAAGAATAACAGAGTCACAGAACAAGAGAGAGAGAGAGAGAGAGATCAGAAGGTGAAAGAAAGTGTAGGGGAAGATGTGGACTCAGTCGGCTTTATAGTAATGGAGGATGATGATGAAGTTGTTCGGTTGGGAAGCAGCGAAAATTAATTGATGCATTGACTGACTTTCAACTTAATAGTGTCCTTTGAATTGAAGAATTCTTAACTACCAAGTCAGGTAACATATGAGTTTTTTTTTTTTTAGCCTTATTTTTTACTAGTGACATTTAACCTCCCCAAAGTTCTCCCTTTTTATATACTCCTTGCATTTTTTTTATATGTCTTTCTAGAAAATTCATCAAAACCAAGAAAACATTAAATAATATAGTTAAAATACAAAAATACCCTTATTTATTTTCTATACAATTCATCACAAACCAATAGAAATTGATTATAAATATTGTTCCATTCCCAATGCAGGGTAACATTGGTAAAAAGTGGTCAAATATGGCTCGATTTGTAAAACGACATATATTTAAAAAAATTCACCAAACTCTAAAACGATATATATTTTAAAATGGATGGAATACTAGTTTATGCTCGTGCGTTGCACAGATTAGTAGATCGTTCTTGTTTAAATATGAGGAAATTATGTTTTTCAACTACAAGACTTTCAGTTTTGATGCGGTAAAAACACAAATGTTGTCTATAATGTTGAGGCCACAGTAATGAAGTGAATTAAAATAAGAGTAACTAATGTACTGTATATTTATATTCTCTAGAGTGTTTCATTAAATAACATTTTTCGTCCGATGTTAAATTCTCATTCCTTGGTGCATATAAGTAATTTGAGACATTATCTTGGTTTCACCCTTACAAGTACAACAATAGATGTCTTTAGGCAAAGACTAGACGCGATAAAAATAGATCCGCTTGCGAGAGCGGCAGTCCTCATTATTTTTGCCAAAGCAAAACACGCAACAATTGAAAATTGTCTCCTCTTGAATCTAACCAACATCCTTATGGCGGGCTGTTGGATATTCATGCGTGGAATAAATTCTTTTTTTTTCTGTATTTAATTTTGATAATAGTTGCATGAATAGCACTATCTCCCAATTCGTCAACCTATAGTTTGTTGGGTGTGGCCTCTTCCATAAGTTCGTTTCAGAAAATTTCACTTTTTCATACAACTTCAAAAAAAACAGATTCTATCACACGTTAAAAGGTGGAAATGATTCTATATTTTTTGTGTATCAGTTTCACTTGTCATATGATTCTATCAAGCGCGCTTTCCATCATCAAATTACTTATAAAATCATGGGAATTTGAGGGATAGAACAACCCACTGTGAGAGGAAATAATATCTAATTAGCTAACACATCCCAATGGAACGTCAGACTATAGCTAACCAAAAAAAAAAAAATACTAATTATTACCAAAGATGTGACCAATTAAGCTATTATGAGATCCATGTTTCGTGTTTTTACAACAATAGGGAAACATAATACACATCATATGCATATCAATGAAATCATCAAAATATCGAGAAAAAAAAGCTCTAGCGAGAATCACTTAATTTTCTTGCACAAATCGATCCAATCAGTTGGATGAAGTCGGCTTCACTATTTTCTAACATGAATCACTTAATTTTCTTGCACAAATCAATCCAATCAGTTGGATGAAGTCGGCTTCACTATTTTCTAACATTAGTAATCAAATTTAGCTGCATGGAAGGATGGTATTTTCTAACATTAGTAATCAAATTTGCCATTCCAGTTAGATTACTCTTTTACATTTCATCAGGCCCCAACTTGGACATTCGTTTCTATATTGTTTTGTGTATCATTAGCACCTAACCTTTCGCCAGTACCCAAAATTTCGAACAGAGAGGTAGCATCTTCCGGTTCATACTGTCAGCAACCATCATTTCACAAACCCGTTTTATTCTTGGTAAATTTATTTCGCCTTACCTTAATTTTGTCATCCATCTCCTTACCTCTGCCTTTGCTTTGAGTTGAAGGAACGTATAGGCATTGTGGAAGTTTTTTTATAACAAAACGATAAGTTGCTTAGCTCTAGCTCGTAAAGGATGCATGGGACTGGCAAGACTTAGCTTTATGCGAATAGGAGGTTGAGAGATCTTGTTTAGTTACGTAATTTCCACCTTAAATAAATGAATAAATTGTAGAATACATGTAATCCGCAGAAAGGTCAGGAACGATGCTGCGAAGATTTTGTCAGTTGAACGCTAAGTGCCGCCAGACCTTCATGCCAAGTCTACAAACAAAACCACAAGATGCATTGGCGTCAGCAGCTCAGCCTAGTTATGTTGTTACGAGTAAAATACCGTATTGAGATGAGAAAATAAGAGACAATTTAACCGGACAGTAGCTCGTCAGCTAAAGTGTTGGAAAAACAAAAAAAACAAAAAAAAATCACTATCACCATGCTTCTTTTAAATTTCTGCTCCATATTCTCGTTTAGGCAAATGATAGCTCCTTCATATATTATTTTCTGCTTGCCACACCTAATGATTGAATAGGTTCTACATGTCATGAACTTTATTTTGGAAAATCCCTATACCACATTTAGGAGAGAAGAGAAATATGTCCAGGATGTTTACCTT